CAGTGGTTGTCTCCCTGCCAGACTGTGATCTGGGTCTTCTTTGCTTTGCCATGAGCAACAAAGAATGAAAAAGAAATGTTCTCTGACAGAGACCTGCTTCTCAAGCTAGATCACTAAGCAGGAGTGACTTCTGCCATGCTTTGTCTTGGTGTTTTGGAGTATGATGTGGGGCAGGGTTTCTGACTTTGCTGTGCAAAGTACCAGGGCCAGAGGGGAAAGGGAATGAGTAAACTTAGTCATCTGTTTGTTGTGGGTTTTTTTCTCGCACAGCAATGTGCATAGATTTCCCCTCAAAACACTGTAGGAGTGCAATCATCCGAAAATCAAGATTGTTTATTCCCATGTTTCCTGTTTTATGTTCAAGGGATACTGTGTCTGTATTCGCTTACTACTGAGCACTTGCATTTTGGTTTACTCCTCCTAATTATGAGGTGGGTTGTACACAACTGTCATAGAAAAACCCTCTACAACTGTTCCAGTCTTGAGCATTGACTAGATCGCAAATTGACTTGACCAGACTGAGGGAGTTGTTCATTCTATCAAAAATTAATGTTTCCTGTAATTCTGCTGTGTTGAGGGTTGGTTGGGTTTTTGTTTTGGTTTTGATGGGTTTTTCTATTTTGGTTGTTGAGATTTTTTGTTTGGTTGGTTTTTTGTGCTGGATTTTTGTCTTGGTTTTTTTCAGGTTTTTGTGTGTGTTTTTGTTGTTGTTTTGCTTGTTTAAAATGAATGGTTAGAGAGAGGCTTGGCATAGAAAGGACTGGATTCTACAAACTGGTAAAGTGTGGAGCTCTTGCCAAAGTCCCACTGACATCCATGGGATGAAGTCTGCCCTGTTAAATTGCTTTAGCCCTACAGAGCAGAGAGGATTATGAGTGGAGCATAGTGGAAATGTGTAGGATTTCATTTTTTCACTTTCACTTTTTGATACTTTTGTGTTTTAGACCGTATGTGAAGAAAGGAAATCTCTGCGTAGCATTGCCATAGCGGTAGAAGCCCCAGGACCCCTCCTGGTTTTTTTAGCATGAGATTGTAAAGTCCAGGTCGTATCCTGTTCCTTGGTAGTTATATATTAATAAATTGTGGGTTCAAAGGGCTTCTGTTACCTTGTCTAGAAGTTCACAAGAAACTTTTCTTCATTTCTATTGCCTTGCTTCAATGTGCTGTACTACAGAAACACTGATCTTTTTGGTCAGTGTCCTTGTTTTTCCATTTTGAGAAGCCTGATGCCTTTGCTGAGAACAGTTCTGGTAGGTTATTTATGCCTAATTATTTCATGAGTGTAAGCCTTTTCTCAACTTACAGTAAAGTAAGAAGAATCAGTTCAAGCCTCAGTAAAAGTCACTGTACATTTATGTATTAGAATCAGCTGCTTCTTTTTAATCTGTTTCTTGTCTCAAGGACCGTATGGAAGCATTCATGTAACCGTGAACTAAACCTAATCATAGATTTGAAGTGTTTCTGCTTCTCACTTCTACCACAGATTAAAAGCAAGTAGGGTGTGTTAATAGATATCTCAGTACCGAGCACAGTGAAAGAAGTTTATGGAGGAAACATGGCTGTTGAATTAAGTTTAGTTTATCTGACACCGAAGACTGGTATGCAACTTTTTTATAGTATGTTGTGTTCATCGTGCGGAAAGTACCCATGCTTAAAAGAGGCTTTTAAATCACTTTCTCTGTGCATTATTTTAGTGGGGTAACAAAAAGGCTTTTACTATGGAGTGCTTTGCTATTGTCCTTTATAACCATTGTAGCTCTGATAGAGAAAGATGAATTCTTTTTTTGGCTCGCTTTCAATAGTATTAACAAGCATATAGGCACCTTCTGACTGCAGTTGCTGGGGCCTGTCAGAAAGCAGCTGCTCGTGCCAGATCCAAAGTAGAGCTAGATCTGTGTTTTTCAGTCTGCAATTCATGGAGCTTCTTTCTACTACTGAGATGTTTTAGAAAGCTGACTAGGAAGTGGAAATCTGTGCCACGTATCACTGTACAAATGTGAACTTTAGAGGGATCTGCTTCCACTGAAATAATTTGAGGTCTGTCATTTGGAAAATGCTGAAAACCAGGCATTTAAAGCAGTTGCAATGTTTCAAGAGAATATGTAGTCGCTATTGTGGAAAAGTTCATATGAGGTCACCTGAACTGTTGCTAGGTTAGTGACACTGCAGTGGGAATGTTTTCCCTTTTCCTTTCTCTGATGTCTCTGAAGGAAACAGACCTGCCCTGTCCTTTCTGCACAAAAGAAAAGGAAGATTGTAGTATCTACAAGGCCCTGTCTGCGTAATGCCAAAAAGAATAGGCATTTGTTACATGTTATATAGAGTTAAAGTGAACGTCGCTGGTTAATGTACAGCTGATGCTTTTGAAGGTATGATGCCTGATTTGCTGACATACTACACACTCTGCCCCCTGCCCCAGCCCCAAGCAGTTTTATACAAGGTAACTGCAGGCTTGGCTGTAGAGTACTTAAAAAGAAAAAAAAAAAAAAAAGAAAAAAAAAGCCACAGTCTCATTTCTGAGCTATAAATTAGTATTAAGATGGTATTAAGGTGTCTGTCTGACCTTGTTTGTCTGTTCTTGCAGAAAACCAAGTGCAGCTTTGTTATTGCTAGGGAACAGATATCTTGTGTAGCTTACTCCTGACTTACTTACTGCTCCTTAATCAGCTTCAAAACTCAGTCTTTTTCACTTCTTCCCTGAACTCTCTTCAAGTCTCTTTCATTTCAGCTGTTTTCAGTTTCATGATTATTTTATTACCATTGCTTTATTTTTTTTATCTTTGTTTATTGTGAGATCTGGAATTTACAAGTCCAGGTAAATCATAGTTACAACTAGTTCTGCCAGGCTCAAAACACTTACCTACTTCTTTTCTTCCCACCCACTGTAGTACTTTGTCAGGATCACTGTGTTGAAATTGTGTCCCACATGATAGGACAAGCTTTAAGAAACAAAAATAAAAGCTTGTTTTAAGAAACAGGTTGATGTGAATCTCTATAGCTACTTATATTGATGCTGTTGGTGTTATAAAGAGCAAGAATTGCATCATTTGTAAATTGATATCAAGTCCTTAAACTTTGGTTCCTTGATTGTAAGGCTGTGTTGGCATGATCTGGATGTATGCAAAACTCCCATGTCTCTCACCACCTGCTTACAAATAACAACTGTAGCTAAATGTAAAGGTATGTGAGCAGAAGATGAATCCCAATTTATTTTTTTTCCTCCAATAGACAAGAGTTTATTTCATAGACATACAGAAAGTCAAGGTAGTTTGACAGACAATAAAGCCTTGAACTTCTTGTCATCACCTCCATGGGGAGGAGCGTAGAAGCTGCAAGTTAGTGACTGATGACTTCATGACTCATTGGGTATATACAGGATAAAAAGTGAATGTTCAGGGAAAACTTCCAATGGAAGAGAAATTGCTGTATGCTAATAAATAAAGCAGTACCTCACCCTGCATATTTGGGGAAAATGCTATTTGTTACGCACACAGGAAAGGAAAGGCAATATCTTCATCTCTGCTAATTTTACAGTATCCTGCAGAGGCCTAACTGAAATGTGCATTTTCAAGGCGGTGTAACAAAGTTTTGTCGTTGAGACATGTAACAGAAATTATTGGTCAAATGCAATATTGACTTAAAAGTATAAGGGGTTTGGATTGTTTCTGATCTCTTTTTTTCTTTTTTTCTCTCTCCTCTTTTTTTTGATATAGCTCTTACTATTTTTCTCTGCCAGGAGCTTACACTGGTAAAAAGCTGAATTTTTAGTCTTTTTATCTGTGAGAATACAGGTTATCTCTTCTTAAAGAAGAGTTGGGTTTGGTATTTCAGTTCAGATTTTAATTTTTTTTTTTCCCTAAACACAGCTTTGTCTTTGGCTGATTCAACCACTAAGCTTATCAGGCTTTTTAGAGTGCTTCTTCTATACTCTTCCTTTCTGGACCTCAATTTATGTTGTTTTGCGGGGTGAAAATTATGTACAGAATTGTAATCTCTTCTCTTCCTGCACCCTAAAACAGGAAAATTTAAAAAATGCAGGCAGTAAGCCTGGGTAATAATTTCTGAGTAAATATTTTACTGCTTTTTCCATCTGTTATGCTAAAATCAGACTAAAACTAGGCATAAATCTAGTCGGAAGAGGTCACTTGGGTATTAATCATCAGAGTTAATCCTCTTAGACATGTGCTTGGTGTGAGGCCAGCTATTCAGAAATTTAACAGCACACATATGTTGCTTATCTGTCTGGCAGCTTGCCAATGAAGTAAACTTTGAATTTGTGGTGGGTTTATATCTCTGTAAAGTATGCTGCTTGTTTGGTGCAAGCTCTGATGCAGCTTTTCTGTATATCACACATTGTGCATTGCCTGCTACTGGAGAATGAGTTTCTTTCAGGGTACTTTCAAAGAGCTGTAGCCTAGTGTTGTGTGGTATGAAGTGATATCATTCACAGTTGACCTTTTCATGGTGCTTCCCTGTGAAGTACGATGAGCCAGATTTAATACTACTGACTCGGAGCAGAGGAGGAGACAATATTTCAAGTAGAGTAATACTGTGGAACCCAAATATAGCTGAATGAAACCTCACCCTGCTTCCACTCTTGCCATTCTGACTTGGAAGAAACATTCATGTTCGTAAATACAACTCTTTCTTGAGTCAGGTCTGGACTGCGCCCAACATTTCTGTTTCTCACTTCATTGGAGCAGGCTTCATGCTTGACAGAAAAATTATTATATCCCAATTATGGAACTGATTCTTCCCCCGGAGCGTGGAAAACAAACAGTAGGAGTGAGTGCATCATTAAAAAAATAGTGTATTTTTAGAGAAGAGGTAGAAATAAAAGTGCAACTCCATTGAAAAATTTCATTATAAATAAAATTACTTGCGTTAGCAGAACTTTTTAAAACAATCTGAGATTGTGGCCGAAAGAACATTGTTTCTTAGTAATGTGTTTATACTTTCTATGCAAAAAATTAATTTTCTTCTTGCCTTTATTTCTCAAGGAAAAGAATGAAAGCTCGTGCTCCTCCTCCACCAAATCAACCTCCTGCAGCAAGTAGAATTCACAGTGATCACAAGTCCCCTGCAGAGACAGCTGTAATTTCTGATCAGAACCTCATGAGCATGAAGGAGAACATGATAAACAGATTGGTGGACTTCACAGTCATTCTACCCAGTGGGGTGGAGCAGAAGAACACAGTACAAGGAAGGTAAGACTTTGACTATCTCCCACTTTCTGGAGCCCTTTGTTCCCGATGGGATACTTGCTGATATTGATGTCTTTCTGAGTTTATGGGATTTTTCTGTCATGTCCTTCTCTGCATTTTGAGCAGCTGCTGCACCAGAGAGTCCTGAGAGGCATGTATAAAGGACCCTCTCTTCTGGGGCAGGACGGATTTAGCAGCTACTGTGTCACTGGCCCCGTGGACTATAATCAGCACATGTACAAATCCATCTATTTCATGTAGCACCAATAGGCTTAGACTGTATCACATTTCATAATCCAGAGTAGGTTTGGTGCAGTGGAAGTGGGTGGCTCCTGGCAAACAGCAGTACTGACAGTATGACTGCCTGGAATCATGCCAAAACACAAGCTCAGAAGATGAATGATTCCTTACATTCAGACGTGCCACCTTCACAAATACTTGCAGTTGTGTAGACAGCAAAGCATCTGCTCATATTTAGGAAGCCTTTTATATAGAAAAGTGTATTTTTTTCCATGGAAAGAGGGAGAGGTTACTTACTGGGTACAACCAAGGGCAAATTGTATTGGAATGGCAATTTTGAGATAATTTTCTTCCCTATGGGAACTCTTTCTTATCCTCATCCTCTCTGTGTGAATTAGTTTGAAAGAGGGATATGTTACTTTAGGAAATAATTTGAAAAAGTTTTAAAAATACAATAAATACTATGATGAAACTATTGCAAATGATGTGGTCAGCAGTAGACAAGAAATTGTAGGAAGTGTAGCATCAAGTTCAGAGGATATATAGGCGCCTGTTAATAAAGCAGGGTCTGTGCTTATTTTACAATCAAGGTTTTCAATAGTTATTTGCATTCCTGTAGAACTACTCTCTTTGGTCTCATATGTTAGTTTGTTTTGACTATTTGCCTATTAGTGTATTTTGATGGCTGAGAAGGATGTGTATAGCAGTTGTTACTCAATCTCAGGAGACTAGTGCAACTTGTGTGGGTCAGTCCCAAAGCCAGAGTGATGTTAAAGGTTTGAAAGGAAAGCAGTGCTTATAAGGGCTTTCAGATTAGACATGTAATGCTTGAGTTTTTATGGGGAGATTTGGACTTCATGAGAGAAAGAAGAGAACAGGCCTGAGAAGTAGAACAGGACATGAAACTCATGAGCCATTAGATCCCAAAGAAAGGTGATATTTCATTGTCAAATTCAAGCCCCCCGAGAGCTGACAAGAGGCTAATATTCATGCAGCATTTTGTATTGAGACATAGATAATTGCCATATGGTTAGAAAATATTTCATTTCCCTAAAAAAAAAAAACATAATCCCAGAAAAAACAGTCCAAGAGCATTAGAAGAGTGGTGTTTTTATGCGACTTTTTGAAGAACATAAAAGCTAGTTGAGCAAAGAACAATTGGAAAGTCCCTGTACAATTAACATTCTGTGTCTTGCACAGTTGTTTATCTCTACCTATCACATATACTGAGACTGAGTGTTTTGTTTATTAGAGTCTTTAGTCCGTAGACTAAAACCTGAAAGAAATGTTGAAAATGAAACTTCATGTGAGGTTATTTATATCATCTGCATTAAGCATTCTAAGCAACCAGACTGTTGTCTTTGTGTTTGTGAAGGTATTCACTTCTTTCCAGTAACTACATAGCAGGTCTAGGCCTCTATTTTAGGTGGCAATTAAATTCCTGCTTGTGTTAATGTGCTAATCCAGTGCCTAACCTAGGTAGTAGTTGTTCTCCCTCAGCACTGTCTTGAAGTCTTCTGAAGACAGAAGTCAGTGACACCGGTAGTCAGCTGTGGGAAGTGGAAGATGATAGAAACTGAGGAAGGGGGAGTAAATCATTCCAATAAGTGATGAAGTAACAAAAGGATAGTCTGTAATGAGCCCTGTACACAGTGGCATTAGTCTGTGAAGAGACTTCATATGTAGTGCTGTTCTTTCTAATCATTTGAAGATGCAATTTTCTGTACATTAATACTGGTAATGATTTCAGGTATGTGGAATAGTAAAAGTAATAACGTCAAGAGTATCTGAAATTTGTAGTGGATGAACTGTCTTAAGTATCTGGATTTGGGTGAAAGCCCAGGCATTTTTGACCTTATGCATTGTTTTGACATTGTGAACTGAACAGCTGTGAAGACAGTGGTACTTGGAGGTAGACATTAAATGATGAAGATACTGGATTTTTAAAAAAAAATTTGGGTTGTTTTTTTTTTTAAGTTTGAGGCAAGTACAAGAGCCAGTGCAAGTGATGAATTTTTTTCCCCATTTACTCTTTTTATCTGTGGTGATATCATAAAAGGGCATTGCAGAAAACCTGCTGTTGTTTTTACTGCTGTAAATCTTCAGTATTTTTGTTGCCGTCATCAAAACTGCATTCTGCAAGATCTGCTTTTGGGTACCCTGGGGAAATAGGTTTTTTTATTGCAGAAAAATTTGCAAAACCTTGCCCTGGGCATCTTCATAATGAAAAATTATTCTGTAATTTCAGGAAAGCAGTTTACAGAACAATGAAGTACACTAGATTATATTTGAAAATATAAATACTGTAGGTAATTAGTATCACTTAAGGTTATTCTAAATGAACTAAGTTAAAAGTTATGTATTTCAATTTGTTCATTATATGTGAGCAAAGCAGCATGTTGTTAGTTTAACTTTGTTCTCTATGTAGAAAGTTTGTATAGATATTATACAAATATCTATACAGTAAAATAAAAATATTTTATTGGAATCTAGAACTGTAAAATAATTTCGTTTATAAAAGTTAACTCAAGCAGAAAGTCTCTCTTTAAGAGTTTATTGTCATCTTGTAACACACAGTTTGTTTGAGAAACTATGCAGTGCAGATTTTAAGTTAAGTCCTTAGGGAGTGTGTGCAGCAATAGAATAGTATTAAAAATCGGTTTTCTTTTTTTTAAATAATCGATCCCCGTGAACTCTACTGTAAAACATGTAGAAGTATTCATGAAAAACTGTTAGTCTACTTTCCACTGAAAAGGACTATAAAATAACCCCACAACTACTCTTTATTTGTGTTTTTGCATGAACACTAATATCTGAAAGCACAGGCAGAGTGTTGGCCACATGCATTTTATGCATATAGATCAGTAGCAGATCCACACAAACTGTTAACAAGTCTGAGAGAGGTGATGGCCAGACATTTAGACAGAAAATAAGTGGAATAGCTCACAAGAGTTACCAGAAACTTTTTCTGTTTGTGATTCTCACAGGTAATGCTTTCAATGGCAAACCACAACAGCAACCTATAAATAAAAGGATGATGCATCCATCTCCATTCACACTGAGTGACACTAAGAAGAACTTCCTGATTAACACAGATACATATTATATACATATATATACACATGTAATATATATGTATTATATACATCTATTAAGTGTCAGCAGCTTGAGAATTCAATAGTATTTGAAATGCATTGTAAAAACATAGGAATGTTTGAAGCTAAATGATGTTTGGTTTGGAGCTGTCATGGGTGCCATGGATGACCAATATGCAGAGCAGTAAACTGGAGAGTTGTTGCTTCTGCTGTTATCTTATGAATTCTCCCACCTGTATGATGCACGGAGAGAACAACACTGGAATAAACAATAAACTAGCCAAAGCTGTAGTCCCATTGTGCAAATACTCCAGGACAAATTTCACTGCAGGGTGGGTATGCGTCATACAGAGCCTAAAGCTAATGTCATCACAGAGAGAACATCCTCACATAATTCTCAGTAATAGACTCATTATTGCAGGTTTATAGCTCAGCATATAGAACAGTGTTTCAAGAAAGACTGAAAGTGTGAAGTCAGCCCAGGTTGGTAAAACATGAAAGAATTGTTGTTAGAAAAAGATAAAAAGGGCACATGGCAAAAGATTTAAAAATTACCTTAACTAAATTCTAAATTAGAGTCAGGTCAAAACTACAGTAGTTCAATATAGGTTAAGAAAAAAGAAACAGTCTTACTAGAATAATTTACAGAATAATTTATGTTGGAAATGGGCCACTGGAACTCACCATTTCTAGGCAAGTTTGAATACCTCCAGGGAGGAAGTTTCTGAATGTCTCCGTACCCCTTTTCTAGAGCTTGACCATCCTCATGGCAACAAAATGTTTTCTTGTACCTACATGGAATTTCCTATGTTGGCACTTGTCTCTTGCCACTTATCCTCTTGCTGTTCGCTGGCAAGAAGAATCTAGTGCTGTAACCTTACCAGTTCATACTTACAGACAGCAGGAAAATCCCCCTTCAGCCTTCTTGTCTTAAGGCTCAACAAACCCAGTCCTCTATCTCTTCTTGTGTGTCATTTTCATGTTCCTTCTGTGGACTTGCTCAGTTATGGAAAACAAGAGCCAAATGTACATGAGCAAAATAAGAAAAGAAATAGAAAACATTTATGAGTGTCTGTTTATCATGCTTCCTGAACTTCTTTGGATAAAGCTTGCTATTTAGTGTATACATTTCTGGTTGTGTAGGAAAACTTTTAATCTTTTCATGAAGTGCCTGCTGTATTTTGGAGCATGAGAAAATAATAATGACTAATGCTATTCTCTCTTTTCAAATGCAGATAGTGAAAGCATTAGAGATTTCAGGTCACACTTTACACTGTAGTGTTTCTTTTCCAGTAAGTTGTCACTGTAGGTTCTTAATGCATATCTGGCACTGATCTAAATAAAGAGGATTCTTTCCTCCAGTTTGAGATTTATTTTTTTTTTGGCATAGAATGGCTTGGGTTGGAAGGGACCTTAAAGGTCATCTGGTTCCACCCCCTCTGCCACGCACAGGGACACCTTCCACCAGACCAGGTTGCTCAGAGCTCCATCCATCCTAGCCTTGAACACTTCCAGTGACAGGGCATCCACAACTGCTCTGGCCAGCCTGTTCCAGTGCCTCACCACACCCTCACAGTGAAGAATTTCTTCCTAATATTTAATCTAAACCCACTCCCAGTTTGAAGCCATTTCCTCATGTTCTGTCACTACATGACTCCTGTGAAAAGTCCCTCTCCAGCTGTCTTGTAGGCTCCCTTCAGGTACTGAAAGGCATTTGTAGAATGGAGATAGAAGGTAATAAGAAAGTTGGTTTCATTTGATAGAACACAACTTTACCCTACACATCTATTTCTTAGATGTATAAGGCTGTATTTTAAAATGGATTTCTCTGTGTGATCCAAGGAGATTAGGCCAAACCACACCCAAAACAACTGAGTTGTTTTATGCATCTTAAAATTGTAGGCCTTTGCTATGTTTTATTGGAGAACAAGAGGACACAAGCAGTCTGAAGCTCAAACTTGATCACAGGTTCAGCATGATAAATATTGCTGACAAAGTAGTTATTCTTTACTATCCAGAACTGGTGTTGTCAAACAGCTTACTAACTAAATATCAGGATAGAGCTGAAGTACTCTCCTTTGCTAAGAATAGTCATATGGACCTTCTTGTCTGAATCTTAAATTGGGTTCACCCTCCAGTTTTATTTCTGTTCTCTAGTATTTGCTTATCAGTCATTAACCTTTGGTGTCTGTTCCATAGTGTTTGGTCTGTCCACACACAATTTCAGTAACATCTTACTAAAATAAAAAAATAAGATGTTTCTTAGCTGAGTAATTGGAAAGGCAGGAGACACGTAAGTTAATTTCAGCTTTAGATTTAATTGTTTAGGATCAGACCTGCCTGAATTTCAGAACAGAGTATACTCTCTACCAGATCTTGAAAGCAACTTAAAATACAGTGCAGATATGTGTGGAGCAAGATGGAAGTAAAGGAAGGACTGATTCTTTGCATCTTCCAAGAGCCATATTCAGCCCAAGGTTAGAAAGAAAAATTGGTCTAGATTAGTAGATTACAATTCTCTTGCTGTGTTTAGTGTCTCTCATCTGTGTATGGCATATACATGGAGTTAACTTGAAATAAAAATCCCATATAAAATTAGGCTGAACTGTATTACAGTTTGGAAGGTAAATCTTTCAAGTTGGTGCCACTGAAATCTGATAGAAGAATTACTTTGCAAGGACTTCCCAGCTCTCTTACTTCCCTTGAAACACATGAATTTTGAATTTTGCTTGTGAAATTCCTCTTTTCTCTTTCCTCTTCCCTTTTTTCTTTATACTTCAGAAGTTTTGTGGGAAATTTTTCTCCAAATTTACATTTTGGGAAGAGCATACTATTCATTTTGAAGTTGTTTCAAAAGCATCAGAGGTATTGCTTCATCTGTATTTTCAAATGGTACAGATGAAACCTCGGGATAGTTTTCCTGATGGAACAGTTGTGTATTCTGAGTTGCATGGCACAGGTTGTTGCAGACTTCAGGAATGTTGCAGGATGCAGACTCGGGGATGTTGCAGACTTCCTTACGAGTTATGTTTAATGCATGCCTGCTCTGTAATCAGCAGTAAGATGAAACCTCAAATTTGACTGGATTTTTGAATTGTCCTTTCTCCAGACAAATTTGTTCGACTTGCATGATTGAGCCTGCAACTTATTTTCTCAGATGGCTGGTGGATTCTGGTCTTGTAGTGGTGCTACTGTTGCTGCTGACAATATTTTATAATTTCAGTGGTAAATGCATGAAATCATAAACTGTTACTTTAAAGAACTGTATTTTTTTTAATATCCTTTTTCAAAATGTAAGGTAACTGTCCAGATTTGAATGAATTATCACAATAATATGCACTACAATAATATGATAATGTACCACTTCAAACAGAAAAGTCTAGCACATAGAACACCATGTATTATGATTTTGCCAGGTTACTTGCTTTTCTGTGAAACATTAGTAATAAGCCTGAAGGGAAACAAACACATGCAAATTTTAATTTAAAAACAATACATCTTTAAACAGACAAGCTAAAATCTGTATCAGGAGAACTGACACTTTTTAAAAGTGCTCACTGCTGCACAGTTTAATGAATATTCATATAAATATTGGTGTAGGTGGAATTCTCCTATAGTTTGGATTTAGTAGATGTAAATGTCTGTTGGTTTGTGATGTGTTACGTATGGTTGTGAGATACAGACATTTTCAACCTGACAGTGCCAGAATAAGTCATCATGAAATGACCTGATAAGGTTTTGATTTAGGTACTGAATGTTTGTATTTAGATGCTCTCTATGTTAGCAGTTGCCATAGTGTTCTAAATTTTCTAAGCCTCCTATACATATTAATGACACCTGTTCTCTTTGTTTGATCTTCAGTCGTCATGTTCTCACTTTGTTCTTCTCTTTCCAGTGAGATCACATACTTCAAATTTTCCATGCTTGCCACTTTTCCAGCTTACACTGTGTAACTGAGTTAAAATTGAAATAAGTGACTGTAAAGCAGGTCCTTTCCGCTTCTCTTGCATGGAAAGAGCTGTCATCTACATATATTTTAGTCTTTTGCCTGTTAATAAGGAATTGTTTTTTCCATTGTCATTGTCTTTGCCATTGGCTCTCTGGGGTTTTTCAGCAATTTCTTGATCAGTTGTTGGCCAACAACATAGCCACAGAAAGAAGATTGGCAGCCCTCCCAGAGAGTAGTTTCCCAGCTTGCAGTTTGAAGGGCGGCTCTTGAGCCACAGATGTAATGGTGGTAGCTAATAATCTTTGAAGGATTTAATTTTCTTTGAATTTTCTTGCATTTTGAATCTGTATACAGTTTTTCCAGTTTAAACATTAGAAGAGGTAACAGTTCTTTTGACACATATACTGTGTATGCACTTATTTTCACTTCTGCTAGAAGACAAATATCCCACTGTGTATGACAGTCTTCAACTACAGCTGGAAGTTTTTTTCAACTTAAATTGTTTTGTTAATGATAGAAAATGGCTTATGAAACCAAAGCTTTTCAGAAAATTACCAGTTTTAATAAACCTGGTTTCTCTGATTCTGTATAGAATTTTAGCAGGGAAGGCTGGGGGAAGAAAAAAAAAAAAAAAAGGACCCTTCAAAATCATGGTAGAAGAGGATTTCCAAGGTGTGTGGGAGCACAGTTTATATCGGCTGTGTCAGGCAGTATCAAGCTCCAGTGAATATTGAGTTATTGACACAAAATGGAGTACCTCTGTGCAGAGGCATGAAATAAGAGAGGAATAGTTGCTGACTTCTTTAATCTTGTAGTTTAAGAATCACATCTGCAGTAAGAGTTACTGATAATGCAAATACTCAATACCAGATATTTTTATACAGGGTTAATATCCTCACCAAAATAAATATGGACAGGATCTCTTGTACTTGAAAATACTGCTGGTGTCAAATGGATTTGTGGAACTCAAAATTGTAAACTGGAAAAATAAATCCTCTCTACTGTTTGTTCCAGATTTAAATGCTCCATTTTGGATTCTGTTATGTGATGATTCAAATCTAGGTAGAGTTTACTGGACTATGAGTGCATAATTTATTTATATTTTGTCTTCATGTTAAAGAACAGCATTTGAATTGGAGAGTTTAATGTATGGATTTAGTAGATAAGATGCACGTTGTCTGCACTTGGCTTATGTTGGTTAGTGCTATGATTGGCACTGTTGTCTGCCTCAGAGTGAATAGTTAATTGCCAGCTCATAAACACACACCAAAGTGTGAATATATTTAATTCCTATCATTTTATCTGATCTGTTTAGCATTTCAAAGCACTAGCACCGTTCACTCATAAAGATGGTTAACTAGTGACACATGCACAGCTTGTATTGTCTTTTTTCCTCCCATCTTAAAACTGAGGTAAATTTTGTAGCAACTGTTTTTTCTCATGCTAATGGTGAATGTCTTCTTCCTTGCAGTAAAGCTGTGATGGATGTATTAGTTGATTTATGCAGCCAGTATCGCTTAAATCCATCCCAACACAGTCTTGAACTGAAGTCTTCAGGAACTCAACAAGTTCTGAGTTACAAGCCAAACACTTTGATAGGAGCACTGGACGTAGAGACAATACTTCTGAAAGAGAAGGTTCCTGAAGAGAAGGCAAAGCGACCTCTGCCAAGAGTCCCTGAGGTCAGTACTCTGTTGGGCTAAAATGGTGCCATGAAACCTTTCCTATGATTTCAAGCAGTTCTTCCAATGTTTTCATCTTGAAACTGGATGGGAAAGACTTGATTGACTATAACCTGCTTTACTAGCTTAACTGTTTTGCGTGCAGATTGGTAGAGGCTAGTCTAGACATTTAGACAAAATGTTGCATATGGTTGGATAGATGGAAATCTGAAGATTGGGGTAATTGAAATTTGCAGTAATGACTGAAATGAGAGTTACGGGGTTGTATGGTGCATGGAGTTTTGGTGATATTTTGTTTGCCATCTTTATTAAAGATATGGGAGAAGACTGATCATTAATAAATGTATTTCACATGACTGTGAAGATTCAGAAGAAGCCATTTTCCAAATGTTTGCTGAAATTTTTATTATTCTGAATCAATATCTAATTATACTCTCACATCTTTCAGAGTGGTACTTGTGAACATTCACAAATTACCTCTGTCTCTGATTCCTTTTCCTTCTTGGCCTGTTCTTGTTAATGTCTCCTTAGTGGCAAGGGAGCTCTGAGATTTTTTTTTAAATAATATTTTTTTGCAATTTGGGTTAAATTTGCCTGAGAGTAGTCAAGACAATATGGAATTCCCCAGTGCATTTCTCATTGTAAAATTGTTGTACAGTGCCATCACAGAGGTGAGACTGAGAGTTTGTGTTTGTTTCTGCAGAAATCTGTGAGGCTGGTAGTGAACTACCTGAAAACACAGAAGGCTGTGGTTCGAGTTAGCCCAGAGGTGCCTCTTCACAACATCATCCCAGCTATTTGTGAGAAGTGTGAAGTCAGTCAAGAGCACATTGTTCTTTTGCGGGATGGCATAACTGGGGAGGAACTGGAGCTTACCAAGTCCTTGGAGGAGCTGGGGATAAAGGAGCTGTATGCCTGGGACAGGAAAAAAGGTGAGCTGAGACCAAAAGAAGTTGCTGCAGAGTTATATAATGTGACAACAATATGGGCAACTTAAAAGCATTTGTGCTGCCATTCCTTTGGAGTCCAGCTGAAACAGCAGAGTGACATCTCAGTCTAGAGAGCAGCATGAGTTTGTTCAGTGAGCTGTGCCCCAAGCAGCAGCCAGGTCAGCAACATGCCCAGTCGTCCTTGGTTGCTCTTGGGCCCTGTGCCAGGCTGGGCTGCTCTCTGGCAGGGTGCAGGTTGGCCTGGGGCAGGGCAAAAGGAGGAGCTTTGCTACATCCTGGAGCTGCTGTCAGTAGAGGTGCACATAACACAGGGGCCTCGTCTAAGCAGAGCCTGACATTTACCTGTGCTGTGGCTTGGAGAGAAAGAAAGAAGAGACATGCCATAGTCATGGCAGCTGTGAAAGCTGAGAGGCAGAGGCGACAGCCCAGGGTTTATGAGAAACAGACTGGATAGGCTCAGAGACGGTTCCTAAAGAGCGAAGCTATTGACGGTTTAGTGAAGAGGAACTAAGAGGTATTTGTATTTGAAATTTTGTTCTCTTGTTTATTTATCCTCACTTTCTGTTCTGATAGTCAACATTGTAGTAGCTGCTTCTTAGACTTGAGTTTTATCAGACTGATTATGTATTCAAGTAGCATAATTCTGCAATGTGATTTAAAATATACCTGCTTTAAAAATACACATTGACAAGAACTACTTCCTTTGAGGTCAGAAAGTGATATTCATTAAAATTGTCTCCTGCAGTTTGTCTCAGTTGGTATCACTTCCAGCACAGTAAATGTCCTTATTTATTGTTTAGATAATGTCATTCTTGTAGATGCTGAGCTGCAGGTTCATTTTTTATTTATAAAGTTATTTATTTATGTTGACGTTCTGTCTCTTCTTTCCAGCTCCTTTGATAAGTGACAGTTCTGCCTTTGTGCGAGTCAAATTTCAATGGGTTTAGACTTCTAAGTAAACTAAATATCTCCTATTCCTTTGAATTGTTAGGATGTTCAAAAAAGAGGTTGACAGCACATCATAACTCAGTTGCATGTTTGTTGTTTTAAGACGTTTACTTGTAATTAAGCTAACCATTTTGGAGCAACATATTGAACATGCTGAGTATTCAACAGGATTTGTTCAACATACTCCAGGACAACTTACAGAGTAATTACCCTAATAATGCCTGCCTTAAACTCTTTCCTTTCAAACAAAAAGGATGATGTATATGCTCCTGATCCTGAGTGTATTTCAGCCTTTTCTGTCTTCCTCTTACTCTGTACCATGGTGTCTGAGAAAACCAGTAAATGCACATAAAATTTACAGGAATTTTTCCTTTGTTTCATCAAATTCCTGCTTCCATATTCTCAGTTGTAATCTCCAAGAGGAATAAACCCATTGGTTTTAGTAGCTGTTGGTCTATGAATTGTGCATTGAGTAGTTATCCAGCCTGTTTAGTTATCAGAACATACAGATTTTTTAAATACTTTCCCACTAACAAGTAAAGCATCAAAGGTGCTAAAAGCTTAGGCTGTGCTTGTAAAAGCAGACACTAGAAAAACTCATCAGTCTTTCCTTCTCTGAAACAGAAATACCAAGTGCTGAAGAATTATTAAAAGAAAAGCTCTGCTGCCACCTGCTTACTTAATTCGATTTAGCAGTTGAAGCAGCTTCATGAGTGAATCAGAAATTAATACAATTAAACTGCTTCAGTAGCAGCTCCGCATGTCTGTTGTCAGTCAACATTTTTTTCTGTAATGCTTAGGAAAAAAAGTGCTAGGAATAATTAATGCATATTTTGCCTTACAAGGCAATATTAGAACTTTAATGTGTTTTCTCTTATCCTTTCATTGCCTGCCTTTTCCAGTTCCTCCATCAAAAACTCAGTCTGAACCTTCTCTGAACTATAGAGGTACTGTACAATGCTGCTGAAGGAAAACTGTCTGTCACTTCACACTATGTTTAATGTGGGTTTCATAGATAGATCTTTACGAATGTTGAGTAAAATGCTGTAGAGAAACAAGCTGTTTTCAATCTGTGTTGTCTTTCCAAAGTTTGTTTATGTGTCTGTGCTGCTGGTCGTAACAAACACTTCTGTGCATACTACCTCTTCGGGAATTGTCGTTAAGATGCCAGCAATTAACAAATCCTGCTATTTAACTATTCTGTAGTATGATATGTTTCTATACAGATACCAAGCCTGTTCAGGTTACCTAAAGCATGATTAGTTGAATTTCAGAATGACTAACATTTCAGAGGTCTCTTGGGTTGAAAATTTATTTAGTAGCAAAGGTAGAATATTTTGAGATCACTGAGATCTTCCACTGGTTTCAATTTACGCACAGCAAAGCATTTTATATCAAATGTATATTTACACATTGGATAACTGAAAAGATGCTGACTTCTGAATTGTTATGGTATGTGGGGTTTGATTAGATTACACCTGTGCTTCTGCTTCTAGTTAAACAGAAAACGTGTGTATTTAGAATATCCTTTTCCCCCACTAACTCTGTTTTAATACATTGCTTAAAATAATTATCCTCAGGAAAGGCATGGTAGATTTCTAACGGGCTTTACTTCTTTGCATTACTAGTAGACACAACATAACCAAAATAAAACTGGGTAACTTCTTTAAATTTTTGGGAAGGAAGAAAGGAAGCCCACCTCTTAGCTTGTGGCATCTTGGCTTCACTGATGCAGTACTATGCCCCTTAATCTTCTGTAATTATTCGCCGTGGCTTCCTCTCTTATGGAGTTTAATACTAGAGGGAATATCTGCTGTATTTATCTAAGAAAAAGTGGTTCAGATTAATAAAGGCTCCTTCTTTTGGGACCACAGGCTATGGTTAAATCTCAGTTTATTGGGATTATACACTGCAAAGTTGATGATCAGCTGCTAGTGACATAAATTATGCTAGACTTTCAGCATTATTGTTTATAGTTGAAGACTGCATGAATATGGGAATCAGGATGCATATTTACTTACAGCCCAGCCCCAAGCAGAAAACCAGCAGTTTCTGATGAACAAATGAGCATAGGTATTGCTTAGTATTTAAGAAAAGTATTATTTTATTACTGTATTTGGTATCATTGTAGTTGTAGCCTTTCTTAAGGATAGTTTCTCCATGCTTTCGTTTGGGTTCATCATTTTTGCAGTTCTACTGCGCTTTGAACTACTGTCTATGCTTAACGCCTTCTAACACCTGACATTGTTTATATGCAGTAGTGATCTGTGTGAAAATCATGTGCTTTATGTGAAATGCAAATAAGTTTAGAGGAGTTCTGGGATAAGGATTTTTTTTTTTTGTGAAAGAAACCTTTATTTTGTGTTGACAAAAACTAATTTTGAATTTGTTTCTTAATTGTTGTTAAGCAAATAAAGAAAATATTAACAAAATAAAATTCTTTCCTGCAAATTAAACTTTCTGTATGCTAGTGAAATTCTCTAATGTGTTTGGAACCAGAGAGAAAGGTTTTCAAGCATTATGCAGAGTCCATTAAAAAAGAGAGAGCTTTATAGTTTGTATATTGAATGGGGAGCACGTGGTTGTTTCCTGTACTGCATACCTGTATCATTTTACTCATCCAGCTTGTGGATGAGAAACTGAAGGGGGAAAATGAACGGAGACTAAATAGATTGAGAATTCATACAATTCCTTAAGCAGGTTCAAGGAAGTCACACGGTTGAACTCTTACAGCCTGAAATACCTATAAACTCCCCTCTTTTTCCACCTGAAGTAAAAGCACCAAGATAAGAAAAGATGACCACAACCAGCTGGTTTAAGTTCTAAGGAGAGGCCTGTGTCCAAATGAAAGGTTTATGGAGCTTTATCCAAATCCACGTTGAGAATCTTTAATTTCACAGTATTAAGTCACACCTGTGAATTGTTAAAGGTATTCACTATAATATCTTTATTGAAGTGTTTGCGTTTTTTTAGTATTACAGTGCTCTCTGCATTTTGAGACATGTAACAAGCATTTCTGAAGACTATGAAATTTTCTCATATTTTTCCTTTTAATAAGGGTTACTGAATTGTGAGTGAAAACTTGGTGCAGTTTATTAAATTATTCCATTTGCCTCCATTAGAATTTGGGACATACTCAGAACAAATAAAAGCTTGATGACCAATAGATAGCAGGATCTGGCAGTTACTTAAATAATCCAGTCCATAACATCCCCAACTTTAAAAAAATCCAGCACCAATCCAGTATGCTTTAAAATACTGAATCTTTATTTCAGAAATGTAAAAACTATTCCATTAAAATTGTTTCAGAACCAAATCGAAAGGCTTCAGTAAGCAATGATGCAATAGAAAAAGAAAAGACACGACTTCTGGGATTGTTTAACGCTGATAGAAGAAGTAGCAAGGTAAGTGTTCAGCAGTGTACTGCTTACTAAAGAGAATTTATTTCTTTCTAAATCTGTTATGTCTGTGGGTGGTGCCATTTGTTTGGCCTGCCTTCCTTTTCCTTCCAGGGAGTAATCTGTTAACAGGTGCATAAACTGTGTGTAATCAGTGCAGCCTGATGGAGATGTCAGCTGCTTATTGAAGGAGCCAAGCATGTTGACCATTTACTTTTTCCTTTATTTTTGTAATGCTGTGGGTTCAACAAGTGTTAACAATGGGCAGTAGTTTCAAGCAACCTATGTCTGCTTATTAGTAGTGCTCAGGTTATAAAATGCGTTTATGAAAGAACTGATGTAATATAGAACAATTAAGATATCAAGTAGATGTGTCTTATGACCTCTTCTGTGCATGGGTGATAATCTCTTTTAAAGCATTTATACCTTAAGGAAGATCTGTGCAGTCACAGTACTGCCATATCCAAGTCTGTAAAGCCGATAAATCTGGTGTAGAAGTAACTTGCAGTACTGAACTGAAGGATCTCTGTCTGCTGGAGTATCTCTTAGGCATTTTAAACTTTGTTTGTTATCTTGAATTGGAAAATGTAGAAATTTCATATAAAATAATTATCTTCTATTGAGATGCCTTTATGAAGAATTTTTCATTTACCACAGAAATAAAATACAGAAAAACGTTCTGACCCAAGAACACAGAAAAAAACAGTGGGCTTTTAGCTTCATACTTTTTGCTAAAAATAATAGTGTTAACTGATTTTTGATAGTAAAGTATGTAATAGTCTAGGATGTCAGAGTAAAAAGGGAATTTTCTTTTGTCTAGTTTAAAGAGCCCTTCAAGGCTTTTGGAGCAGATTTATAAAATGTGTGTCTGACTAACTGGCAGTAAGAAACAAATGCTTGCTGATAGACTGGTGTTTTCACTTACCCTTCCAGTCTTCTCAGTCATGTTTTTAAAACTGTGAAAGCTTTCCAAAATCTCTCTTAGCTCTTTGCCTTTTTGATTATGATCAAATCTGGAGTGCTTTTGCTGGGGAATAGGTTCCTTTATGGACATTGTGAATTGCTGTGTTGAAAAACCACATCTGTCGTACATGCTAAACTATTCTTACGATCCTTAAAGGACTCATAGAGACTGTATTTTATGAGATAAGTCAGTAATTTTCAGAGTATTCTTCTACAGAAAATTTTCCAATTTAGAAGGGAATGAAAGCATAATTGGAGCAATAATGCCATATCTGCCTGGAAGAATCAAGTAAACAAGGGAGCTCAGCTTTAGCCTCTAGAGCATGCTGTGGGACTGTAGTTCCTCTGGAAGAACCAGTTATATTACAGCATGCAGTTTCTGCATCATAGTTTGTCCTTTGATTTCATTTTTATGACCTTGTGTATGAAGTCTGTGCTCTCAGAGTTCTAGCTCCTGAAGCAGATCAGATTTAAGTTTTAAAGTATTTATGCTTACAACCTTAGGAAACACTGCTATGAAGTATCCTGGTTCTGTGGTTACTGCAGTGGATTTTTCAGAGCAGAGTTTGGGATGAGTATTCCAAGATTGCAAACTCTTCTCTTATTTTTTCTGTTCTCTTTCTTGTGTTTGTTAATCAAAGGCAAAGGAGGCTATACTCTGAGTTTTTTAAAATACACATTTTAATAGATGCTAGGGATATTGAAGATGAATTAAGTTACAAGTAGTATTTGACTTGGGAGAAAGTAGGAACTTACAAGTCAGAAAGAGCTTCTAAATCTGAGGAAAAGGTCTTTCTTGCTGAGTTAGTTCTGACAAGTTAATTGATTTTTCTTGGTCATTTCTGTCACTTTGTTTAGTCAAGCAAAGAAATCACTGTTGCCTTTTCAGTACAAACCTCTTGGAGTCTGAAACCCAGTAGATGGAAGAACTACTGAAAACAGCGCAGCACACAGGAGCAAGCAGATGTTAAATAGCTGTAAGACATCTGACTTGGCATTGTGAAAGGTTTCCATCCCAAACAGCAGTGAAACTGCTGAACAGACTGAGCAGAATGAGGGTAAATAATTAAAGTGTTTTTAAGAAAGGATTTGGTAGGTTTATGAAGGGATTGTGATTTCAGGGAACTGGAATCAAAACCCCAGAGTGCTTAAACTCTGCTCTTTATGGTTATTCTTACATTTTTATTTCCCCACTAGACTTTAAGTTGGTTCTACATATTTGTTTTAATTTTTTTGTTTGTTTGCATTATGATTTGCTGTGATGTGTGTGTATGTATGTGGTCATGCACAGTCTGTATTTTAGAATTATTTGATAGGAAGAATTGTTCAAAATCTTGCACAGTAGTAGCACTGAAGAGTTGCAGGCTTTTGCAAGGGGAAAGCAATTTCTTTTGCAAGGGAAGAAGAGTGTTTGCCTGTGTTGCAAACTGTCCTGGATCGGGTGTCACTGTACACTACAGGCCTACGCTCAGATTTCCATGCCCACACACATGCTTTCTTTCTCAGCCAGCTCACTGAAAGCAGTAATTGTGGTGTGACAATACAGTAGATCTAAGTTTACTAAAAAATATTTTCTGCTATATTGAAAGCACCATGACACAGAATGAAAGCAAAGTCCTATTCTCATGGTTGATACAAATTTCTTGAGAGTATTTCTTCGGTTAACTTTGTACTGGCAGGCTTAATGCCAGATCAGGTATCATCTTGTTCTCTCCATTCTAATTTTATGCTGGATCAGTTACCTTCTGTTCTCCTGCAGCTGGCATAAAAAACATAAAGGTGGCATGAACTCCATTCCTTTTTGATGTTAAATGTAGTCATTTGCCTGAGGCTAAATCCAGATCAAATTGGCACTGCTAAGCAATCCAGTAGAGCAGAGGTCCTGTGCAGACAATCGTGGGATCTAGGCTTAAGCAGGGTGTATGCTAGTGCACAGAAACAGTTCCTTCATGGAGAAATGGCAAGGACGAAGCTCTCTTTGTTCCCCTGTGTCTGCGGGTGTAGCAGAGACTAGCAGTCTAGTCCCCACTATTACAGGAATTAGTTACTACCTATTTTCATCCTTGCCCAAGAATTGTTCTTAAATCTTTCTACTAATGAATATCTTAACACCTTGCCTACATCAGGGAATTTTGCAGACTTCTTCAGAGTCTCTCAGCAATCAGGTCCAGTGCTACTGAGACAGTTTGTCTTGGTTCTATGATGGGGTTTGGTGTTTTGCTCTGGCATGTTTTTGTAGTTTTGTTTCCTTTGCTGCTGCTCTGTAGCAGCAATACACTTATTTGTGTTGCAGACAGAAGAATACTTGAGGATGAACAGAGATTGTGGTGAGGAGGATGTTTTTAGTTCTGCATCTACAAGTGAAGGAAGCTTGGATGTAAGTACTAACACAGCTTGTAGATGCTATTGCTTTCCTATTAGATCCTGCAGTTTGAATTAACCAGAAACTGCTGCAGTTCCTGATGCTTGGCCAAGTAGAAGTAGAAATAGCTTATGTTTTAGAAGGCTTAGTTATGTGAGTGCACAGTTTGCATATCCTCATGAAGTTAAAATATAAGGTGCAGTCTTCAAATGCAACTTGCCAGCTTCACTATAAATAAAGGGACTTTTCCACTATTAAATTCTAAGCAGTTGAAAGAAAAAAGTGTTTTAACCAAGGTTTTAGATTGTGACTGGAAGACAATGACAGTACTGCATGATGCAAGAGTATGTTTGTCTTTATCATTTATCAGTGACACAGGGGGCTTTTTTTCTTATAAAACCACACCTTTCATTTTGATCCCTATATATGAATCCTGCAGCACGGCAGCATTCCACTTGTTTTATAAGAAGCTTGGGGGTGAAGAGTACTTTTATTTTAAACACTGGAAAGAACAAATAATTTTTGTTAAGTACTTCAGTAGGGTTTGGGGTATTAAAGTCCTGTGAACCACATTTAGAAAGGTTTTTAAGGGACTAACAGATTATCAATTTATGAGTATTTAGGTATCTAATTAGGAAGTGTGAACCCTAAATATTTTTCTAAGACTGTTCTAGTGATTTATTATTCATAATAAATGGCATGTCTTTTTGTTGCTTTTTTAAATTACATGACTTTTTGTTATTATATTTTCAAAACCTGGAGAAGACTCTGATGGCATGATAGAAGCCTGAAATGTGAGGCTTAGCTCTGAATTCCCCTTTCACAAACAAGTCTCTGGAAAAGGCGTGCTGATCTGCAAAATACAGAACTCACTAGACACAGAGAAGGGTAACAGAAAAGTGTGGAAAAAAATAGAAGAGAGAGAGAACAAATCCCTGATAAAAAGCATAATACAAAAGGAGTCCAAAAGGAGAAGGTGGTGGAAAAGTGATTGGCTGTGAGGTATAAAAACACCTAACTCTGTAAATCTGTGAAGACTTCATAATGAAAGGCTACTGAAATGCTGCTTATGACACTAAAAATTCAGGCAACATTGCAAAGATGAATATATTAATAGATCTCTCTTACTAAAACAGAGTCCTAGTAGAGGATGATACTGGTGATTGAAATATACTAAGCAAAAGTATAGAAGAAGCATCAGAAGCTCTGCCAAAATAAAATCATCTTGTGGTTCGTAGTCACTGCCATTTTAAATTAGTCTGAGTATCTTGCTATCCGAGTAGTAGAAGAGAAAGTGGAGAAAGAGTAGGGATTATAAGTGATGATGATGGTAGTTCATACACTCTCAACTGTCTTTTATACAAGTGTGTTACTTTTTGCAGAAGAGAGACATCTCTTTAATTTTTTAGGGAATTTTGTAGGGTAAGTCATAAATTGACATTGATGAAAAAAAATTTCAAAACTGGTTTGAACATGTAACTCTTCTAAAGGCTCAGCTCTCAGGGAGTAATTGGCACTTGAAGAGATGAAAATATTTTCTTTTTATTCAGTTACATGAACATGTCAGGGATTTAATTTTTTCCCCTTTCTTCTTAAGAGCAATTCATCTTCAAGAGCAATGTACCCTTGTTCAGTGTTTATGTCTTTCACTTCTGGCTTGACACCTGTATTTGTACAAGCACCGATCCCGCTAAGACATAAGCACATACTTAAATGACTGTGTTGACATACTTCCATTGAATTTGGTACTATTCTGTTCAAGCTCATATAAGGTGTATTAAAGAAGTGTAACATCCACTCAGCAGCACAGGAAGTCCATCCTTTTAAGATACTAGATGGGCTTCAAGAAAAAGGTCAACAATTGTGATCCCTTAGGTGAAAAATTCTAAAATACTGTAACCTTGGCATAGATAACTTGTATTAAGATAAAATTCAAGTGGAAACACCAGTGAAAGAATTTCATAGTTTTAAAAATTCAGCATAGGAGTTCCTTATGGGCTAGACTTTGAGACCCTTGATTATTCAGAGTAATTTGTTATTCCTCTTGCTCAAAGGATATCTCATTCACTTCAATGTAACTGAGTATTCTTATTCCAAATAAGTGGTATCTTACATAACCATATATATGAAATACACATTTTGAGATCATTATATAGATTTTTCATTGTGCTAAGATAGGACTGTTGGCAAAGTGTCATTCAGTAGAGGCTTCCTCTTCTGCAGTTACCTCACGTCTTCTTTCTATTACTGTTTTGGGTCATCTGAAAGTATTATGCATTTGCTGTGTGGGGAACCAATGCCGGTTTCAGTTTTATTTCTGAAAGGAAAATATTTTGTCACCATAGTACAAGGAGATAATGACTGTATCAGGAAAATCTTTCTTACCTATAACAAAAAAGGTAACTCGTGAAGTACTACCCTTTTCTCACTAATATGTGGTGTTAATGTGCACTGAAATGTAGAAAAAGTCATGATTCTATTTAGGGTATTGATTTGGGTTTTTTGTTTTTGATTTTGTTTTTTTTTTTAACTGGGCAGTATGAAGGAATGGAATAAAGGGGTAAAAAGTATATATCCAAGCACAAGTTACATTCACTTTTTAATGTTCTCAGTGCCATATTTATCTAATTATTATTGGAATTATTTATGCCTCTAAAATACTTTGATTTGTTGATGAGGAAGCAGATTTTCAAAGTCAAGATGGCAAAGTCAACACTTAGACTTGAGGTGAAAGGTCATTTATTCGTGGCATCAATGAAAATAAAGGTGAAAAAGAAAGAACTTTTCAACAGCATATGGAGAGGTTGTAGAAATGCCAGAAAAGGCTTCTCCATGAAAATCCTCAAAGTGCAGCTGTTCATTATACCACACATCAGCAAAGGACATGAAATCCAACAGTGTACTGTAAATAAAGAAGAAATCTTTTCCTTAATCTGGGGAAAAAAAAATCCGTTTTGTACTAAGCTGATGAGTTTTATATCAAGGGCAACTTTTCAAAAGTCAAGTGCTGTGGAAATACAGTGATGTATAAATATAACATACAAATAAGGCAGTTGGAAGTTGCAGCACAGTTAACTGTGTTCCGCTTTTTCTGTGCCGAAGGAGCTGCAGTTAAGAACAGCTGGAAGGAAAAAGGGAACTTAAGTCGTCTCTGCCACTTGGTGTCACTATCCTCAAATAAACAGTTGATGAAACTCGGCATTTGGAAAGCGGTACTACAATTAACTGTTTTTATTTTGGAGCCTTTGTGTTTTCATAAATTGAGAGTGAAAAAAACCACAATTCTAGGGCTGAACGATGTGTAGCTCTGATGTGGACTTTGTTTATGTAATAAATCAGCTTGGGAAAAAAATATTTAGAAGTACAGCCAGGAACAAACTTATCAGAGGATTTGAAACTTCAGCACAAAGTCTTATCACACAAGGTTTCTCTAGTTGAAACAGGGCTTCAGCAGTGCAATGTTAGAAGACTTTCATCAGGACCGTTTTTAAAACACGTAGTCTTCAGTGTATGACTGAATGTAGGTGTTACTTATAACAGGCTCAATTCGTTAAATGAAGCAGATAGTCCAGTAGTTTTCTGCTTGGTGAGTCTGCCATGCTATGATTATATATGTCCATATAAAAACTACCAGGCAAAAAAAAAAAAAAAAAAATTTAAATACCAAACAGTTATCAGATGCATTTAGGGTATGTGTGGTGGGGTTTTTTTTTAATTTCATAGTAGCTGTATAATTGCAAGATTGTGCTCCAGAAGAAAAGTTTGAAAAAGTTTGCTAATGTTTGAAAAAAGTAATCAAAACTTCTGGTGCATTAGTAATCTTGGCCATCACTTCTTAAATGATGGCAAGAATTCTTTTCCTTATAAAGGCTTTTAAAACACATATTATTTACCTTATCAAAGCTTTTTACCCTAACTGTAGTCTTTTACATCCTCCACGATGGCAAGAGTTATACATTTCATGATACATTTTTTCAGTTCAGAATGGTTGGAAAGAAGAATCAAGTACAATTATGCAAATGGTGATTTCTCTTCAGCCATGTCAGGTCCCAGGTGATTAGCTGATACCCTTTACTGTCAAGGACTTTATGGCACATGGGCAGGTGCTGTTAAGGTCAGTAGGAATGAGAATACTGCCCATGTCATCTAAATGGAAGTTAACAGCCATCCACTTTTAATATTTTCTTGCATCTGACAGTTACATTTACTTTAAATTCCTGGCTTCACGTTCTTGCTTCTTGGTCTCCTGACAATGCTTGGGATGTCTTTATTTGGTATTAGCTATGTTGCATTTAGTACAGTTAGAGCTATCTATATACACTGCCAAAGATGTAGGCAGTGGTCTGGCCTTGAAACAGTTTTGCTTAGTGTGTTTTTATTTGCAAAATACAAAACTCTCCAAACAGTATGGAGAGTCTGCAGCAGACAGATCTGTTCTCCCCACTTTTTGCTGCAAGGTACCTGTAAGCCAGCAGTTAGATGCCAGAGGATGACACTACCGAAGATATAGTTATAAATATTTTCATTTGTGCAAATGTTCACATGATTAGAAGAAAAAGATATTTCTTAGATACCAGGTATCTCAGGATAAGGTTCACCACTGTGGTAGAGTTAGTTTAATTTTGGTATCCTGTGATACTCTGTGGAAAAAAACCTCAAACTGTTAACTTGCCTTGGTAAGACAAAAGGTTTGCTCAAGCCAACTGGCTTGTGGCTGGCATTGAGAGAATTCCAGTAGGTAGCAAAGATGACAGTGATCAACTTTATTTCTCCTTGTCTACTGAGTGCAGGACAGGAAGCAGTGTGCTTTATATTTAGCAATGGAAATTTAACTTGGATACTAGAGGGAGAAAAATTTGACTGTATGGAGGTCTCACAGGGGAGCATGTTATTAAAGTGACCATGATATCCTTATTATCACCAGATATGTAAAACCTCCAAAATTGTCTGGAGGATGAGCTACACATACTTGATTCTGTCTCAGAGCAGAGGGATAGATTAGGCAGACCATGGAG